TATACGAATTTCCTCTTAGTTGTAAGTCTTTTCTCAGTTATTACTGGACCGATCTACAAGATTTATGTCTCAAATTAAAGGGGATAGTATGTTGATTTGCCGAACTTCCTTAGGATTTACGTTTTCTCTAAGGGCTACGACCTACAGCCCTTCAAAGGTCGAGTCAATACAATTCTTATTGAAGAAAATAATACACAGTTTATACATTATTAGTCAGCTGTTTAATGTTTGTCAGACATTTGTTATTATTTTTTATAACCTCACTTTCAGCATATCTATTATATTATTAAAGTGATACAATCAAATTTTATGTAAACGATTAAGGTCATTTACCAAATAAAAATATAGGCATATGCCACATCAAAATGAAGCTTAGAGTGTGTAGATTTGCCGAAAAGTATTGATATGGACGAATTTCCTAAGGGCTCTGCCCCACAGGCTGATTTCCAAAGGGCTATTGTTTAAATGATTTGATTTAATTTAGTTAATGAAACAGCTGGTCAGCTGGTAAAGTGAACTGGTGTGTGTTTATTTACTCGAAAAAGATGTTTGTGACGCTTTATGTAGATTGAGGAGGGTTATGTTCGGTTTTAAAGTGAGGTTGTAGACGTTTTGTAAAGTATTGCTCAAAGTTTCGTTTTTTTAAATTTATATAGTAAGCTACAAGTGAAGAGGCTTGACTAAAATTGAAGAATAATGTTAAAACATGTCATTCATGAAGCATTAATATGAACCAATTGATGCTATTGCTAGACGGTATGTTGTCATATTCTTATCGATCTATTTACGGTACATCAAAAGTAGGGGTTTGAAAATAAGTAGGTTTACGCTTTTAAATCAATTTATATTTTTAAACTAAATCATAGCGTTGCTGTATTTTAAAACACACATCAGCACCACATTAATAGCTCTCTATACAGGTCACATTTTCTTCCCGTTGCAAAGCACGGGTATAGCAGCTTGTAATTATTAATCTAGGAGTTCCTGTTTATAAACACACGATTTTGATAAAGGAAAAGTGTATTTGTTAACTTTTTATACCACAATGTATTATTTATAAATGTATTTATACATTATTTTTATGTTTTGGTTTAAATTTTGTGTTTAAGAAATGTTTTAGTTTTCCTACAAAGTGATCTGAAGGAAAGTGGTAATAGAGTTTTGAGTATGGAATATGAAATAATACCCATAGTAGGTGACGGAAACTTATTGTTTTGATCAATATAAATGATTCTCTACGGCCACCAGAACAATCAAGTTGTACAGATTAGTTATTTGTGTAGCTAGTGGTGAAAGTGGCACTTTGCTGCACACGAGAGCAATGTTTACGCACGAGCCGCAGGCGAGTGCGGAATGATCTCGAGTGCAGCAAAGGCCTTTTTCACTCGTGTTACACATTATATTTTTCCTACAGTCACTATAAAACATAAATAATTAGTCTTTCAAACACTATACAACACGTTTTTAGGTTCAGCTAGCAACACAATTACACAAATGGTGCCCTGGAGAAAGTAGTACCCGTGGTCAGTATCACTCCGCTATTTTTCCTCGGCAAGAAATGTGCTCCGTCTTTTGAGAATATAGTTCCGTATGTTTTTGTAATTTGAAGTGGTTTCCGCGCCTAAAAAAAATGCTTTAAAGGTATTTTCTTGTTTATTAAGACCGTAGGAATGTTTTAAAAACGTTTAAAAGAAAAGTCCAGAAAGTTCAGAAATACCAAAACTATAAACACGAAATGACAGGTTAAATCGTAGTTATAATAGTCAATCAGCTGTTCATAGTACTGTATTATTATCTTTAAGTGTTGCCAACCTATTTCCAAGCGTACACGGATTACGTGCATAATAAAACCACGCTGTTTTGTGTTGTTTGGTTGGAATCCTGATGTGCGGCAAAGTATAAACCGTGCGGCAAAGTATAAACCGTACGGCAAAGTATAAATATGCAGCAATTAGCAGCTTTCTGTACTATAAACAGTACAGGGAAGCCAACTTTGTCGGGTGACTGTAGGAAAAATTAATTGCTAATGAGTGGTAAACATACAAACATTTTATCATAGGTGATGAATCTTACTCAAGGTCAGTGTTTGATGTTCAGCAGTACCAAACTTTACTTTCTCGAGATGGCGAGAACGCTGGATACGTTGAACTACAATGTCAATTTTGTATTATTGAAAAATGTGTTTGTTTTCCTTAGTGATCCGAAGGAAAGTGGTAATTGAGTTTAAGTTTAAATAAATATGGAACGTGTAATAATACCCATAGTAGGGGACGTAAACCGTTTGTTCCGATCAAAATTATTACTATTCTTATGCATCTTGTGTTCACCTATTGTATTATTTAGTATTTATTATTGCTTGTTATCTCCCGTATGTAAGTTATTATTGTACAATGGCTTCTGCCGTGAATAAACGAATTGAATTGAATTGAATTGCATTTTAAATTAGAAGTATTTCACGTAAGTTTCTAGCTGTTGTGTATAATTTAATGCTGCAGTGGTATATCTTCCAAATAAATTTGGTAGACGGTTACAAAATATAAAGAGTGCGTCATCTTTAGTACTCATCTTGATTTAATACTCATCATATTCATCTTGAGCTGGGACTGCCATAACTTAAAACGAAAACATTACTTGATAACATCTGGTGGTAACAAAGATATAAGTTTCTTCACTTGAGAAACGCATTTGAATGGAAATGAGTTCAAGTCACGTCAACTGTTTATATATGCATAGGACACAAGGCAAGAGATAAGTAACAGATATCATATCTCAAATGGAATCCTAATGAACGATGGTAATCCGCTTCAAATAAAAATAGCGTTTGACAATTTTAGTAAGTAGCACAGAGCAAAACATACATGATTTTTCCCATAAAAATAATTGTAGAAATGAATTAAAAGTAAGTAACAATACTCATTCTACTACTGTAGAATTATATGAGTATTGTTACTTTCTTTTAATTCATTTCTACAATTATTTTTATGGGAAAAATCATGTATGTTTTGCTCTGTGCTACTTACTAAAATTGTCAAACGCTATTTTTATTTGAAGCGGATTACCATCGTTCATTATGATTCCATTTGAGATATGATATCTGTTACTTATCTCTTGCCTTGTGCCCTATGCATATACAGTGTGTAAATTAAGTCTGGCACACATTTTTTATCTTTTTTTCTATAGTAGATAGAAGAAATCAATTTGCAGGACTGATTAATAACAAATGTTAGGCAATTTTTACAAATTTTGAAAATAAAAATTCCCTTAAGGGCAAGGGGGGTGGGGGGTAACTACAAATTTTCAAATGACAACCCCCATCATGTGACCCCTCATTTTAAAGGTCATTGGAAGACAAATCCAAAGATGTGTCTGAAAAAAAAATTTTTGCACCCTATCCAAGATGGCGGTTTATAATGTACTTAGGGTTGAACGGGTAAATTAGGTATGGCACACATTTCTTTTTTTTACTCTTTGTAGATTAGAAGGAATTAATTTGCGGGACTGAGTAAGAATAAATTTTTGGCACTTTTTGGAATAATTTTGAAAAAATTTCCCTTAAGGGCAAGGTGGGGGTGGGGGGTAACTTAAAATTTTCAAATGACAACCCCCATCTTGTGACCCCTCATTTTAAAGGTATTTGGAAGACAAATTCAACGATGTGTCTGAAAAGAATTTAATGTGTTTCAGACTTAATTCACCCGTTCAACCCTAAGTACATTTTAAGCCGCCATATTAGACAGGATGCAAAAAAAATTTCAGACACATAGTTAAATTTGTCTTTCAAATACCTTTAAAATGAGGGGTCACAAGATGGGGGTTGTCATTTGAAAATTTTTAGTTACCCCCCACCCCCACCTTACCCTTAAGGGGATTTTTTTTCAAAATTATGAAAAAGTGCCAAACATTTGTTCTTTACTCAGTCCCGCAAATTAATTCCTTCTATCTACAAAGAGTAAAAAAGATAAGAAATGTGTGCCATACCTAATTTACCCGTTCAACCCTAAGTACATTATAAACCGCCATCTTGGATAGGGTGCAAAAAATTTTTTTCAGACATATCTTTGGATTTGTCTTCCAATGACCTTTAAAATGAGGGGTCACAAGATGGGGGTTGTCATTTGAAAATTTTTAGTTACCCCCCACCCCCCCTTGCCCTTAAGGGAATTTTTATTTTCAAAATTTTTGTAAAAAGTGCCTAATATTTGTTATTTATCAGTCCCGCAAATTGATTTCTTCTATCTACTATAGAAAGAAAAATATAAAAAATGTGTGCCAGACTTAATTTACACACTGTATAAACAGTTGACGTGACTTGAACTCATTTCCATTCAAATGCGTTTCTCAAGTGAAGAAACTTATATCTTTGTTACCACCAGATGTTATCAAGTAATGTTTTCGTTTTAAGTTATGGCAGTCCCAACTCAAGATGAATATGATGACTATTAAATCAAGATGAGTACTAAAGATGACGCACTCTATATTTTGTAACCGTCTATTAAATTTATTTGGAAGATATACCACTGCAGAATTAAATTATACACAACAGCTAGAAACAATGTTAACTTACGTGAAACACTTCCAATTTAAAATTGTTTGTACCATCTTTGACTAATGGTGGATTTAGAATGGCCTCATTCCCGTGTTATTTGTAATCCAGTTTATAATGAAAAATTACATATTTAGGTTGACAGAGTGTTTTGATGTCATGTCGATTACTTATTTCTGCCAAACCTAAATAAACATTTCCTGAATAGCATCTTTTATGTCACATACGTTATTTACGTATCGAAAAGTAGAGTTTTGACAGTTGCACACTGTGGGAATCTACGAGTACATCCAACTTTGTTAAAATAACAATTAGCTACAGTTGGTTCATATTCACATATTCATGGGTTTTTGTCCTAACCACAAATCAGTGATGTTATCCTTAAATTAATAACTGATTGATAAATTGATTGATTGAGTTTGGAATCGTATTAAAAATATAATTTTCTTTGTTTCAGGGGAGATCAGTCCGAGGAGCAATTTGAGTGTGACGATCCTAGACCTGCAGGTGCCGTCCGATGGCGAGACAGGGGACGGCAGTCAAAGGAGGGAGTCCAACAACAGCATCAATGACAACTGTGCACCTAGTAGTGAGTATCAAAACAGTATCTAGTCATTAGCTGTGCTAGAAACACTTAATACTTACTAAAGGTACTGGGTAAAGAGGGGGTAAAGATATATGACTAAAATCGTAACATTTGGGTCACATCAACATACATAATAGCTTATTCCCTATATGGGAAATTCGCTAAAATGATGTTTGCTTCGCTACCGTACCCTATGTTGTAAAATTCTGCACCTATAAACTATTAGGGTTTCCAAATGGATACAAATCTTTGTCTAAAAAAACTAAATCAATGAAATTAAATAGTTTGGTTTTAGTTACGGCATTTTGAGACGTGTATCAGAGCCAATTGCATCGTAATTTCTAGCTTGATATTTACTCACCTGGATTAAAAGACAGAGAGTTTTGTCCAACTAAGAAATAGTGTTGAATTGTATTTCTTAAAACAATGGTGTATGTGTAACGATTTCATAATAGCTTTGAAGACGTCTCCCGTTACAAGCTGCTGGTATGGAATGGTAGGTTGATTTATATACATCAGATCTGCTTAGTGATTGGTTGGAGCTGTTGTTGACACAAAACAGAACCGTTAGTTGCAGATCGTCATTAGTTATCTTTGCATTTTATAATTTTCTTAGTAAAAATTCAATCCTTTAGTTAGTTATAACCATCTGCAGGAAGTTTTGATTAAAATTAATCAATGCATCCTAATGGGAGATCTGGGTGCAGTTTTTTTTATTGAAGCTCTAAAAGTATGTGTGAACGAAGTGTGTTTGAAACTTCGATATTTTGTTTAGAATCTTCTTCAGCCACGGTAATAATATTCTTAAAGTTACTCACCGTAATACAAATTCCAAAATAAAACGTCAGTGCTGATATTTAATTAGGTAAAGTAAAGCATAATAGACAAGAATTAAATATAATACTAGGTTTATACATTTAAGTTTTTGAAAAACCAGGGTTATCAACTAGTGTTTAATTTTAATAATATATTCCTATATGAGTGATGTTCACTCAGTGAGTGAGTGAGATAGAAGCAGTAAGTTGAATACAGCAGCCATAAGTGAGGTTAAATCCCCATTCCAACTAGTGTGGCCACTGGCCATACAGTGAAATAGGAGTGTTGCTAGAAAGCCGGAGGTAAAACATATATTGGACGATTACCTGTATAACTCAGTGTTGCTCGCTCGCCGATAGGGTGATATAGAAGTGGATGGTTCGAAAGCCCGGGATTACATAATCATGTTTATCTCATTTATACCTTATTAATACTCAGTCACGAACAGAGTGAAATGTGAGAAAAAGACCAAAAAGACGGAGCCACATACACCGGTTACTCCTTATCTCAATTTCCATTGTAGTTAACTAGCTAACTGGGAGCACATCCACATGGAAGAGTCAGTCATCTCCTACCTGATACCCCAATCGACAGAGTGAGGTAGGAGTACTAGTTTGCTAAATAGCCAAGATAGTAGTACATGTTTTCTCCTTTCCTTTCCATGCCTTAGTGGTGCTCATGACCAGGAGAGTTATTCCGACAGAGTGAGTTTTGGTGAGATGTTTATACTGTATAGCTAAGGGTCACTTGTAGGGATTGGTCTTCTCTATACCCCAGTGATGCTCACTCTCCGACAGACTGAGCTATGGTAAAATGGTTAGATAGCTGAGGGTCACTTGTAGGTGTTGGTCTTCTCTCTACCTCAGTGATGCTCACTCTCCGACAGAGTGAGCCATGGTGAGATGGTTAGATAGCTGAGGGTCACTTGTAGGGGTTGGTCTTCTCTGTACCCCGTTGATGCTCACTCTCCGACAAAGTGAGCCATGGTGAGATGGTTAGATAGCTGAGGGTCACTTGTAGGTGTTGGTCTTCTCTCTACCTCAGTGATGCTCACTCTCCGACAGAGTGAGCCATGGTAAGATGGTTAGATAGCTGAGGGTCACTTGTAGGTGTTGGTCTTCTCTCTACCTCAGTGATGCTCACTCTCCGACAGAGTGAGCCATGGTGAGATGGTTAGATAGCTGAGGGTCACTTGTAGGGGTTGGTCTTCTCTATACCCCGTTGATGCTCACTCTCCGAAAGAGTGAGCCATGGTGAGATGGTTAGATAGCTGAGTGTCACCTGTAGGGGTTGGTCTTCTCTGTACCCCATTGATGCTAACTCTCCGACAGAGTGAGCCATGGTAAGATGGTTAGATAGCTGAGGGTCACTTGTAGGTGTTGGTCTTCTCTCTACCTCAGTGATGCTCACTCTCCGACAGAGTGAGCCATGGTGAGATGGTTAGATAGCTAAGGGTCACTTGTAGGTGTTGGTCTTCTCTCTACCTCAGTGATGCTCACTCTCCGACAGAGTGAGCCATGGTAAGATGGTTAGATAGCTGAGGGTCACTTGTAGGTGTTGGTCTTCTCTCTACCTCAGTGATGCTCACTTTCCGACAGAGTGAGCTATGGTGAGATGGTTAGATAGCTGAAGGTCACTTGTATGGGTTGGTCTTCTCTGTACCTCAGTGATGCTCACTCTCCGACAGAGTGAGCCATGGTGAGATGGTTAGATAGCTGAGGGTCACTTGTAGGTGTTGGTCTTCTCTCTACCTCAGTGATGCTCACTCTCCGACAGAGTGAGCCATGGTAAGATGGTTAGATAGCTGAGGGTCACTTGTAGGTGTTGGTCTTCTCTATACCTCAGTGATGCTCACTCTCCGACAGAGTGAGCCATGGTGAGATGGTTAGATAGCTAAGGGTCACTTGTAGGGGTTGGTCTTCTCTATACCCCATTGATGCTCACTCTCCGACAGAGTGAGCAATGGTGAGATGGTTAGATAGCTGAGGGTCACTTGTAGGGGTTGGTCTTCTCTATACCCCATTGATGCTCACTCTCCGACAGAGTGAGCCATGGTGAGATAGTTAGATAGCTGAGGGTCACTTGTAGGGGTTGGTCTTCTCTATACCCCATTGATGCTCACTCTCCGACAGAGTGAGCCATTGTGAGATGGTTAGATAGCTGAGGGTCACTTGTAGGGGTTGGTCTTCTCTATACCCCATTGATGCTCACTCTCCGACAGAGTGAGCCATGGTGAGATAGTTAGATAGCTGAGGGTCACTTGTAGGGGTTGGTCTTCTCTATACGCCATTGATGCTCACACTCCGACAGAGTGAGCCATGGTGAGATGGTTAGATAGCTGAGGGTCACTTGTAGGGGTTGGTCTTCTCTATACCCCATTGATGCTCACTCTCCAACAGAGTGAGCCATGGTGAGATGGTTAGATAGCTGAGTGTCACTTGTAGGAGTTGGTCTTCTCTATACCCCATTGATGCTCACTTTCCGACAGAGTGAGCTATGGTGAGATGGTTAGATAGCTGAAGGTCACTTGTATGGGTTGGTCTTCTCTGTACCCCAGTGATGCTCACTTTCCTAAAGAGTGAGCTATGGTGAGATGGTTATATAGCTGAAGGTCACTTGTATAGGTTGGTCTTCCCTGTACCCCAGTGATGCTCACTTTCCGACAGAGTGAGCTATGGTGAGATGGTTAGATAGCTGAAGGTCACTTGTATGGGTTGGTCTTCTCTGTACCCCAGTGATGCTCACTTTCCTAAAGAGTGAGCTATGGTGAGATGGTTATATAGCTGAAGGTCACTTGTAGGGGTTGGTCTTCTCTGTACCCCAGTGATGCTCACTTTCCTAAAGAGTGAGCTATGGTGAGATGGTTATATAGCTGAAGGTCACTTGTAGGGGTTGGTCTACTCTATACCCCATTGATGCTCACTCTCTGACAGAGAGAGCCATGTTGAGATAGTTAGATAGCTGAGGGTCACTTGTAGGGGTTGGTCTTCTCTATACCCCAGTGATGCTCACTTTCCTAAAGAGTGAGCTATGGTGAGATGGTTATATAGCTGAAGGTCACTTGTAGGGGTTGGTCTTCTCTATACCCCATTGATGCTCACTCTCTGACAGAGTGAGCCATGTTGAAATAGTTAGATAGCTAAGGATCACTTGTAGGGGTTGGTCTTCTCTATACCCCAGTGATGCTCACTTTTCTAAAGAGTGAGCTATGGTGAGATGGTTATATAGCTGAAGGTCACTTGTAGGGGTTGGTCTTCTCTATACCCCATTGATGCTCACTCTCTGACAGAGTGAGCCATGTTGAGATAGTTAGATAGCTGAGGGTCACTTGTAGGGGTTGGTCTTCTCTATACCCCATTGATGCTCACTCTCCGACAGAGTGAGCCATGGTGAGATTTTTAGATAGCTGAGGGTCACTTGTAGGGGTTGGTCTTCTCTCTACCCCATTGATGCTCACTCTCCGACAGAGTGAGCCATGGTGAGATGGTTAGATAGCTGAGGGTCACTTGTAGGGGTTGGTCTTCTCTGTACCCCATTGATACTCACTCTCCGACAGAGTGAATCATGGTGAGATGGTTATATAGCTAAGGGTCACTTGTAGGGGTTGGTCTTCTCTATACCCCATTGATACTCACTCTCCGACAGACTAAGCTATGGTGAGATGGTTAGATAGCTGAAAGTCACTTGTAGGGGTTGGTCTTCTCTATACCCCATTGATACTCACTCTCCGACAGAGTGAGCCATGGTGAGATGGTTAGATAGCTGAGGGTCACTTGTAGAGCTTGGTCTTCTCTACCCCATTGATGCTCACTCTCCGACAGAGTGAGCCATGGTGAGATGGTTAGATAGCTGAGGGTCACTTGTAGGGGTTGGTCTTCTCTGTACCCCATTGATGCTCACTCTCCGACAGAGTGAGCCATGGTGAGATGGTTAGATAGCTGAGGGTCACTTGTAGGGGTTGGTCTTCTCTGTACCCCATTGATGCTCACTCTCCGACAGAATGAGCTATGGTGAGATGGTTAGATAGCTGAGGGTCACTTGTAGGGGTTGTTCTTCTCTGTACCCCAGTGATGCTCACTCTCCGACAGAGTGAGCCATGGTGAGATGGTTATATAGCTGAGGGTCACTTGTAGGGGTTGGTCTTCTCTGTACCCCATTGATGCTCACTCTCCGACACAGTGAGCCAT